ACCTATCCTTTCTGTTCCAAAGTGGGTTTTTAAAAAATCAGGTGCCTATCTATAATAATAAAAGGGTAATATGCTAATTCGACCAGATGTCTTCCAGACTTCATTCTGGATATCCTTCCTGATGAAGCTGGGGCTGAAGCAAAGCCAGCCCAGGTCCCGGGTGCCTGCGGCCTGCCAGAAAGAGGGAAGCCTGGGTCCCGAGTACCTGAGGCTGGTGGAGGATGGATGCCTGGGTCCTGGGTGTGGGGGCCAAAGCAGAGGCAGTTAGGGGCGATCAGGCAGGTAGGCGAGCAGTTAGAGGCAATCGGGCACGCAGGTGAGCAGTTGGGGGCAGCAGGCAGGCAGGCAGAGTGGTTAGGGGTGATCAGGCAGATAGGCAGAGTGGTTGGGGGGATCAGGCAGATGAGTGGTTAGGAGCCAGTGGTCCTGGATTGCGAGAGGGATGTCTATTTGCCGGTTTAGGCCCGATCCCTGTGGGACAACCCCTGAGGGGTCCTGGATTGCGAGAGGGTGTAGGCTGGGCTGAGGGACTGACCTTCCCCCTCCCCTGTGCATGAATTTTGTGCACCGGGCCTCTAGTCTTAATATAACTGGAAAAATATATAATCAGAAATGTGGTAATTAGAGAGTTGGAAATTGCTATGGAGAATGGAGGGGAAAATTAGTTCCAACTAGGTGGTTTGGGGGAAGGTTCCCTAAGGATTTTGTATTTTGAATTGTACCTGACTAATAAGTGATTTTGGATGAATTTTGCTAGAAGAGAAATGGTTCCGAAGTGCCAGTGTTGAACTAGAGATGATCCGTGAAGTTTTCCCATTGCAAAATGTGAAAAATAAAAATGGTGGTTTAATAGTAATGCTATATTAATCATTCAAAGAGTTTTACATCAAACACCTATGTACCCAGCATCCAGGTTAAGACATGTGTCCTTGATGATACATATAGCTCCAGTTCCTTTGTTCCTAATGACTTTTAGAAAAGCCCACCTAGTGTGCATACCTTAGTTATTGAACCACACACTCTTTGTACCCATTTTGCTATTGTAAATAGTGCTGCTCTGAACATTCCTGCACACGTTTCCTTGTGTGTATCTCGAAGAGCTTCTTTTATCAGGGGGTCTTATTATTTTTCTGTTCCATGAACCCCCTTTTCAGTCTGAAACCCATGACTCCTTCTCAAAATAATGCTTTTTAATGCATAAAATAAAATATATAGGATTGTAAAGCAAACCAGTTACACTGAGAAACTATTCTTAAAGTGCTAAAAGGCAAACAAGGTTGTGACAGGACGTTTACACAGAGACATATACAACACATGACCGTTGCTGGATTCAGGTTTTTCATACTTTAGGTTTTGTTGTACCTAAGTTAGATTTTCCTTTTTGGGCAGACTCTTTCCTGATTTTTGCCCCAAGGTGAATGAGTTCGGTTGTATTTTATCTTTTTCTGTTCTCGGAAATTTTATATAAGATTGGAGTTACTCATTATTTTAATATTGGCTGGAATTCCTATCTTGAAACAGTCTTATTTTATGAGTTTAGAAACTATTGAACCTAGTTGTTGAAGGGTTACCGATCTCAGGCTTCTGTGTCTTCTTGAATCTGGTTTAGTAAGATAAAGCAAACTTCTGCAAGACTTCAAGAAAATAAAGAAGACACAAACACTATTAAGAATAAAAAAGGAACATGCCTGGTAAATACAGGGTGGGGCAAAAGTAGGTTTACAAATTTGTATGGAAAAAAACTTGTAAATAATAATGTACAGTAAGAATAAACTCTGTTTTGCATACTCACAACCATAAACGTACCTTTGCCCTACCTGGTATAGAGTCAGTGAAAATACTTTTTAAAAAGATTCTCTGAACAACTTTAAGTGATAAACTTGAAATTTTCAAATTTCAGTGAAATTTGACAGTCTCTTTTGGGAAATATGAGTTGAGTGGTTTTTTTCTTTACTTTTTCTCTGAGTTTCTTGGACCTGTGGATGTATGTGTACCATAAAATTTGGAAAATTCTGGGTCATTATTTCTCCAAATATTCTTCTGTTTCACACTGTCTTCTTTTGGATTTCAGTTACACATGTGTTAGACTGATGACCAGCGACTCTTGTATGCTCTCTTCTTTTTCTCTCCATTATTTTGATATTACCATCTGATCTTGCATGTTTTTTACCTTTCCCTTAGAGCAGTGATTCTCAACCTTCTGGCCCTTTAAATACAGTTCCTCATGTTGTGACCCAGCCATAAAATTATTTTCGTTACTACTTCATTACTGTAATGTTGCTACTGTTCGTAATGTTGCTAATGAATCATAATGTAAATATCTGATATGCAGGATGGTCTTAGGTTGACCCCTGTGAAAGGGTCGTTCCACCACCAAAGAGGTCGCGACCCACAGGTTGAGAACTGATGCCTTAGAGCATTTAGCATATTGATCACACTTATTTTAAATACCCTGTTGATAATTTTAAAATCTGTCTCATATAAGAAGCTGGTTCTGTTGATTACTTTGTCTCTTGGTAATGTTTTGTTTTTCTTACCTTTTCCTAAGCTTTGTTATTTTCTGTGTTGAAAATTGAATACCTTGTGTAGGACAGTAGACTAAGGTAAATAGTTTTTATGCCTGGTTATGCTTACACCTTTCCTTCTGCTGGGACTTTAATGTGGGGGATTTAATATAGTTAGGAGTTGGGCTGGGTTTGAGGTTTGTTTCTGTGGTTAACCTTCATTACACCACAGACTTCAAATTCCTCTAACAGTATCTTATTTTTAGATTGGGGGCTGGTTTGCCAAGCATTTTCTCAATGTCTCTAGGTCTTCCCTTTGCATAGCACCTCAGAGAGGGTCATTCTCTAGCAGTATTCCAGTTACCCGTTACAGGAAGTTGGCTGGTAGAAAATACCTCTGTCCTATTGTTCTGATAAAGTCTCAGCCTTAGGCTGCACCGTCCCTGGACCTGGGGTATTTGGCCTTCTTACTGCTCCTGCCTGACCCGCAACTATAGTCCTAGGCCCATATATAGTCCTGCCCCTTCCTCAGATACAAAAATTTCCCTAGTGCCCCAAGGAGATTAGTATCCCAAGCAAATTAAACCTTTTATTCCTTAAAGGAGGCAAGCAAGAGTTAGTGCCCCTCCCGTATTGGCTCCTATTCCCCTCCCTCAGGCTGTACCGTTGACCTCTCTTTTTCAAGGTTCTCATCAATATTTATTATGTAAACCTGTTGGGCCCATGAAGAGATTTGTGAACTTTGCTGCGCCCTTGGGCTCCACACTTGGCCTCCACCAATCTGATACTTATTCTAGTTGAAATATGCTTAATATTCTGACTGCTTCTGCCCTGGTCTCTCCTTAGATTTGGGGCTAGTTGGTTGCCCTCTGACCTCACTTCTGTGTGTTCAACTAAAGTCATGAATGTAGAGTTTGACTGGCATTTTTTCTTTTTTTAATTGAAGGTGTGGGCACAATGCACTTTCTGACTCTCTAGATTCCTGACGAATTCAAAAGTCTTTATTATGATATATTTAAAATTACTTTGTAATTTTTATGTCTTCCTTTTCTCTGCTTTTTCCTCCTTTATTGATTTTTATTGGCTTACTTTCATTTTTCTTTCTCTCTTCTAGTGTGACTTTCATAATTTCTTTTCTATTAGTGTATATTACTTGAAAAATATTGAAAATTCTTATTTGACTAAACAAAGACTAAAGTTAGTAATTATCTCTGTCTTCCTTCCAAACTGTAGTAAGGGCCTTAGATGAACTTCATGTGCTCTTCTTCCATCTTCAGATCTTACATTTTACTGTTATTGTATATCTTTTTTATACATCCAAATTACTAGACATTATTGTTGTTTTATGGAGTCTGTGCTCATTTGAATTTGTTTACCCATTTTACCAATTTTTTGCTCTCTATTCTTTTACTTAAGTTTCTTTCCAGTTTCAATCATATATTTATACTCTTACTTTCTGAAAATAAATATGCTTTCTCTCACTCTTGTGTAAAAGTTTAGCTGATTATAGAATTGGAGGATGAAAATTATTTTTTAAGCTCTACATGTTTTTCCTGTTGATATGTCTGCCAGATATTTCACTTTCCCCCTTCACAGACTCAGATTTTACCTTCGTTTGCCTCTTCTTTAGCATTCTAAGCTTTGTTACATTCTGTCTGCATGAGGATTTTATTTGTCCTGTTTGGGACTAGTTGTGTTTCCTGAACTTCATGTGGATTTATATATATTTTCTTTATTTTTCTTTCAGTTGTAAAAAATTCTCAACTATTATCATCTCTTAGATCAGCAATTTTCAGCCGTTGTGCTGCCAGAATTTTTAAAACATGCAATACCTGACTATTTAGTCAGGGGCACTGACCTCTTTTCCCTTAGATCAGGGATAGGGAACCTTTTTTCTGCCAACAGCCGTTTGGATATTTATAACATCATTTGCAGGCCATACAAAATTATCAACTTAAAAATTAGCCTGCTATATTTGGTCAAACATTTAATTAACTCACCCCTAATGACTTGGCAGGGCCAGACCAAAGGATTTTGCTGGCCTTATATGACCCATGGGCCAGATGTTCCCCAACCCTGCCTTAGGTTGTGAAATAAAAAAATGACAACAGCCAACACAATAGAAGCCATCCTATATGAATGAATAAAAATTATATCCATTTTTTTGTAAGATTGGCAAAAATATAATATCTTTCTGGTGTGCCGGGAAACAAAAAAGGTTGAAAATTGCTGTCTTAAACCATCATCTCTCACCTCCTTTTTTATTTTATTTTATTTTATCCTGCAACCTCTATTAGGCAGTTTTGGGTTTTTTTGTACTTTCTTATTCTCTTTTCTATGTCTCATTTCTGAGACACTAATTGTTTCTTCAGTGTATTTAACCTAACCTTTAATTGGATTTTTAATATCAGTGGCTATATTATTTTTAGAAATTGCACTTGGTTATTTTTTAAAATTTGTCAAATTTTCTTGACAGTAACTTGTGCTTTGCTTTTGCTTCCTTTTTTATGTCTAATAATTTTGAACATAAATTATCTTTTTTTTAACATAAATTATCTTATATAAAGTCCCTGTGATTTTATTATATAGGGTTCTTAAAAATCTCTTCTTGCTATTTTTTTATTTACGTTTCTCATTCATAGCCAATTTTTGGGTTTTGTCATTCTGGGTCATGGAATTGTAATCAGGGTGCAGGAGGAGTTTTATCTGTGGGAATTCTTTATAGCTTATCTTAAAGGTATGTTCCTCTGAAGTATAGTTATTTGTTTTAATAGTAGAAGGCAAAGGCAGTAGAAAGAGGTGGTGGAACATTTTGAATACAATACCAAGAGTTTACTACAATTTTGTAGACAGACAGTATTCGTTGAAAATGAAGATGAAGAAACCCAGAAGTGGTAAGAAATGTTGGATCTTAAATCTATTAGATAATCCAGATTTTTAATTAAAACTAGAGGCAGGGTTGGTTTCAGAATAGATATGATAGGAACAATTGAGCATTTATTAAGTATCTGTTGAATTTCAGGCATTGTGTGAGACTCCTTTCATAAACTTTTCTCATATAATTCTTACAACACAGCCTTGAAAGGGAGGTGGGAATATTTATGCTTATACCAGTGTACTGAAATTTGATGGGATTAGATAACTTGACCAAGGCTGAAGAAGTGTTAAACGAGGAGCCAGATTTTACTTGTCTTTGGTTATGAAAATTCCTATTGTTGCTTTCAAGCCCCTGATAGAATAATTTGAGGTTGAGAAAATTCAGGCTGGGTTAAGCCTGAATGGAAAAATTATCTCAAGTCAGTTGATTCAAGTTCTATGGGTTTTTTTTAGCATGTCCTATAATTATAATACATGAAGCAGCGAGTGTTTATTGAGTTCTTACTATATATTAAGCTACTTACATGTATTATCTCAGTTAATTCTGAAGAAAACCCAAATGAGAAATAGGTAGTATTTTTTAAATTGATTTTAGAGAGAGGAAGGGGTAGAGAGAGAAAACGAGAGACAGGAAAATATCGATGTGAGAGAGAAACATACATCAATCTGTTGCTACCTCAATGTGCCCAACTAGGGATTAAACCCACAATCTAGGTATCTGCCCTGACTGGGAATCTAACCTGCGACCTCTCGGTGTATGGGATAATGCTCCAACCAACTAAGCCACAGAGGCCAGGATAGTAGTATTTTTATATACATTTTCAAATAAGAAAATTGAGACTTAGAAACATTAACTAGTTAGCTTAATCACCAAATAGTAAGCCAGAATTCAAAATCAGCCCATGCTCCATGAAAGTAGACTGTTCTGTGTATTGGAGGAATGTAGACATGCACATGGAACATTTTTGACAACAGGTTTACGTCCAGTAAATGGTGATGGCACCTTCAATTGGTCTGTGCTTTATTTTGATAATTGGAAAGAAGAGCTAAATTCATCCTCATCCTGTATCTACCCACTTTGTACCACATTGCCTATTTCAGAAATTAATATCTCCAAGTTCTATGTGACCATCCTTGTAGTTTATAGGTATTTATTATATAACTAGAGGCCCAGTGCACTAAATTCATGCAAGAGGGGGTTCCCTCCGCCTGGCCTGCACCCTCTCCAATCCAGGACATCCCTCTCACAATCTGGGACTGCTGGCTCCTAATTGCTCACCTGCCTGCCTGCCTGGTCACCCTTAACCACTCTTCCTGCCTATCTGATTGCCCCTAACTGCTCTTCCCTACTGGCCTGATCGCCCCTAACTGCTCTCCCCTGCCTGCCTAATCACCTCTAACTGCTCTCCCCTGCTGGCCTGATTGCCCCTAACTGCACTCCTCTGCTGGCCTGATTGCCCCGTCACTGTGGCTTTGTCCAGAAGGATGTCCGGAAGATATCTGGTCTAATTAGCATATTACCCTTTTATTAGTATAGATGGTAAATTGAGGTATAATGAGAGTTTCTAATTATGGACCTTATGAATTCATTAATTTGATTTTAAAGCAGTTTTATAAATCTTTCACTTTTTTTAGTTTTTAAGTATTTGTTGAATAAAATCTACCTATAAGTAATATACCAACATTTTTTATAATGTTGTATAAGCATGAAATGGGTAGGTAGAAATTTATGAGTTTTTTCAGGCCTTTTATATGTATAGTCTGAGTATTTGTATTTTTTTATTATTAGAACCAGATCAATAGTAACCATCTTCGAAGAGCAGAACAAGAGGTGATCAGTCTACAGGAGAAGGTGCAGTATCTTTCTGCGCAGAACAAAGGACTGCTTACTCAATTAAGTGAAGCAAAACGCAAACAAGCAGAGATTGAATGCAAGGTAAACATATCAAGTAGCTAGTTGTTTTTGTCAATATGAAAATTCCTGTTTTGTTTTATCTCATTATTGATTACATCATCTTTAAACCAAATAAAGCCATAAAACTAGTTTAATGTTCCAGTTTTTCTGAACTTGGTTTGGTGGTTGCTTTCAGACCAGGGTAGGGCATCTTGCTTTGAGGTGGATTTCAGGCAGGAAACCTTGTTTTCGACCACTTGGTTAAGTGCCAGTGCATGAAATTAAGTTAACCAAGGGGTTAAAACTGGTATCTGTCTGCAGCATTTCTTTTGACCGATAGCCCTTTAAAACCAATACTTTTAAGGTCTCAACCAAGAAGATGGGTAATTTAGAGAGGTTAGGGCAGCTCTGCTTTGATAGGTACCTTATTAGCGGGCAGTGAATATATTCACATGTTTTCTGGATAGAGTAGAGAGCAAAAGAAATGGGTGTGTGCCAATGGATTGGGAAAACTGTGTCCATTTCTCATTACTACTTTAATAAGTTTTTCTATTTTTGTGTGAAGTGTTTGAATTCATAAAGCATGTAAAAGCGTTAGAATGCAAGTATGTTTTTTCCTGAAATAAGTTTATAGTATAGCAGTGGTGAAAGAGAGAGGAGATGGGAAGTGGGGTAGGAGGAGAGGGTGTGTGTGTGTGTGTGTGTGTGTGTGTGTGTGTGTGTGTGTGTGTGAAATAACTAAAGAGATGCTGTGGTCTGAGCATTAGAATGGATTGCTGAGGACAAGTTATGGATTTAAAAAATAAACTAGATATCCATCTTTCCATGGTGAGATAGTAGGAATGATGCCCTTTAAAGATTCCAGTCCTATTATTCTATGATAAGAAATAAGACTTTCAATGGCACATATAAAGCTGTAATTCCATCAACTTGTTCTGGTGTCATTAAAAACCAAGAGTGAAGCTTGAGTGGTTTATCAGTGTCACTGAAATCCAGAGATGAAATTACATCCTAATTAATATGCATGGCTGTTACAATTTACTCTGACAGAAATCTGTAGGCAGTACTGAAATTTGTACTAATTTAAGAGGAGTCCCTCTTGAAGTATATGACTAGACTAATTTAGAAATAAAATGATGTGACATGAGTTTATATCAACTTGATTTGTTATACTAATATTTTACTGAGTTTCTATTATGCTATATTGTCTGCTGACTCATTTTTATTAAAGAACTAAATGTAATGTTTTTCATTATTGCTCTAGGTTTTTCTTAAAATGTGTTGATAACACTATTATTGGATTTAATATTTCTCCTCAAATGCCTTCCCACCTTTTAATCAAAGTAAAGTGTTCTTTGGAAATAAATATTTGGGGAATTTGCTGATGAAAATAACTTTCTTTGAATTTATTTAAGCAATAGGATCAGATTTGGAATTTTAGAGAATTTAGGAACTCTTTTGAGATTTAAAATTTTTTTAATGTTCATTAATACCTCTGTGAAGTATGTTACAGATGCTGACTCTGATATTTCCCCTTCACTTAAGCTGTATAATGATTTATTTAATCTTTTATAATGCCTTTTGCCTATTTCAAGAATGACTAGTGTATTGTCTTTTGATAAACAATAATAAAGTTCATTTAATTTTTTATTTATTTAAAATGTCAGGATGCTATTTTAATATTAATATTAATGTTATTTTCTCTCTGTAACTGAATTTGAATGTTCCCACTTTAAGATCATAGTACAAGTCTATGATCCCCAATATGAAAATCCCAAACACTATAAAACCCAAAGGTTTTTTTCATAAATTTTACACAAATTCATTTGGAAGCAAAACCTGATTTGAATTGAAATATGGCCATTTATCATTTTTATTTATCCAAGTTGGTGTGGGTATTTATACTTCACTGCCTCATTGTGTTGAGCATTGAGTATACTGTTTCATTATGGATGCCGCCTCAGCTCCTACTGGATACATCATATTACTTTTGTAAAATCTAAAAAATCTGAAATTTCATAGCACACCTGGATCCTAAGATTTCAGTAATGGGATTGTGGAATTTTCTACATAAATCAAAATTTGAAGATTTTAGGTTCTCTAGTTCTACATATATTGAGAAAACATTAATTTATATACAAACTTATAAAATTGTGTAATAAATAATGTTAAGTGAGGAAAGTCAGTCAAGGTATTTTTATTATGATTATAATACTAATATTATAACACCCCTTCTATCTCATTCTCTTCCTGACCCTACCACATACCTCTTTTTTCAGTTTTTACCCCCAGGTTATGCTTTTATTTTTTCATAAGTCCTTTTAGAGTTTCTTTTAGGCAAATATTGTGAAGTAAATGTTCATACTTTTTCTTGTCCTCACTCTTTTACATGAAAGTTAGCATACTGTATATTCTGCTTTTGCTTTTTTTTTTTGGCCATATGTTTTCTAAAGTTTTAAATATCAGTTCTTGAAGTGTCTTCTCATTATTGATGGGCACATGGGTTGTTCCCAGTGTTTTACTACTATAAACGGAGTATAATGAATAACCTTGTAACATACATAATTTCAGATGTATAGAAATGTATCTACACATTCTTGTAGGTTAAATTCCTGTAAATGTTATTGTTTGGTGAATGGGTAAATACATTGGTTCTTTTCATAGATTTTGTTAAATTACCCTCCTGAATGTTGTACCATTTTTTACATTGACAGCAGGGCATTATGGTACCTGTTTCTTTGTCATGTTACTTACAAAGTGTCTAGGCAAATATTTTCGTTTTAAATAGATGTAATTTACATATTCTAGGGCAGTGATTCTCAAATTGGTTTGGGAGGAGGCGAGATTATGAGACTTCAAAGAATGATGGCATCTACTTATGTATTTGAGAATAAAGTCAAATATTTGGCTGTGTTCTGTCAGTTACTCTTTTTTCTTCTTCTTTTTTTTCTTTTTATTTTTGGTGCCCTTGACCAAAATCAAACCTGGGACCCTTGAGTCCACGGGCTGATACTCTATCCATTGAGCCAAACCGGCTAGGGCTGTCAGTTACTCTTACAGGCACTGAGGATACAGTAGTGAAGAAGGTGGACATAATGTTTAGTGAGATAATAAGTAAAAATTGATAAGATCATTACCAATGATATACTGTGGACTGGGAGTTAAGAGGAAGTGGGAATTAAGATGCGGTGCTAGAAGGTGGTATGAGAGGTGGGACCTAAAGAGTAGCAAAGAATTAGTCTTGTGAAGAGCCAGCGCAAGATCCCTGAATGAATAGGGTCACAGAGTTCAAAAGCAGGAAAGAACTTGGTTGCTGAGTCTTGTACATAATGAAAAGCTTAATGAGATGAAGCCAGGGAGATAGGCTGTGACCCTACTTCTTATATGTAAATTTTTATACTCATGGCAACAAGTTTGGGTTTTGCTCTGTGGGAAGCTAGTGAAACATTTTAAGTAGGAAAGCAATATATGATATTTTTACTGTATTTGCTTCAGATTTTTTTACTTTTTTTGTTTGTTTGTTTGTTTTTTAAATATATTTTATTGATTTTTTACAGAGAGGAAGGGAGAGAGACGGAGAGAGATAGAGTTAGAAACATCGATGAGAGAGAAACATCGATCAGCTGCCCCCTGCACATCTCCTACTGGGGATGTGCCTGCAACCCAGGTACATGCCCTTGACCGGAATCGAACCTGGGACCCTTCAGTCCGCAAGCCGACGCTCTATCCACTGAGCCAAACCGGTTTCGGCAGATTTTTTTACTTTTTGAAAAGATTCTTTTTAAAAAAATGTGTTTATTGATGAGAGAGAGAGAGAGAGAGAGAGAGAGAGAGATTGAAACAACATGATAAGAGAGAATTATTGATTGGTTGCCTCCTGGGGATCACACCCAAAATCCGGACTTGTGCTCTGACCTGGAATTGAACTGTGACCTTCTAGTTCATGGGTCAGTGCTCAACCACTGAGCACACTGGCTGAGATTTTTTTACTTTTGATTTTAAAATAATTTTATGTTTAAAGAAAAGTGGCAAAGATAGTGCAGAGAATTTCCATAGACCCTTTCATCAGCTTGTCCTGATGTTAACATCTTACATAACCATGGTACCTTTATTGATACTAAGAAGTGAATGTTGATACAATGATAGTCCTAAACTACAGATTTTATTCAGATTTTCCTAGCATGTCTCAGTTTCCTCTAATCTGTCACAGCACGGATATTGTAGAATATGGTTTTAGAGTTTTTTCTTTGTGACATTTTGAGGTGGTGGGGTAAATATTATGCAGAATTGTGAAACAGTCTAATTTTTATTATTATTTGTAATACGATGTAAATATTTATTAACATTTATTCTTCAGAAAGAATATGATTTTTAAAATATTATCTACTAACATTATTAGTATTCATATCTTTGTTATTCTGTTGTCCTGGTTAAGGGTTTCAAAGTTCTCAATAATTGTTCTTTTATAAAAAACTTAACTTTCAGTTACTAGTAATTTTAAAAAATTTAATTAAGTTAAATTTTAATTTAAGTATTTTGAGCAATATTAATTTATATGAATGATATTTCTTAATATTTAAAGATGGGATGCTATCCTGTATATTCATTTTATATCAAGTTTAGGAGATAATGGCTTTTTCTTATTTGATGGGCTTATTTGTTATTTTCTGAATTTTAAGATAGGTTACAGTGTTTCTGTTTCTGTATTAATTTATCTTTAGTTTGGTTAATTGTATGGTTTATTATTGGCTTGTTTTGTTTGCCACCCTAGAACAAGGAAGAAGTGATGGCTGTGAGGCTGCGGGAAGCAGATAGCATAGCTGCTGTGGCTGAACTGCAGCAGCACATCGCAGAGCTTGAAATCCAGGTACCATATGGACATAATAAAATACACATACAAATAACGCAATCGTTTCCTCTCCCTCTGTGCCTGAACAATTATATCTTCATCCTGAAAATGACTGTGATTCTGTTTTCAACACTTACTCATTTCCAAGTCCATTCTTTTTATTGTTGTAAGTGTATAGTTCCATGACATTAAGTACATTCACATAGTTGTGCATCTAATCTCCAGAACTCTTCATCTTGCAAACCTGAAAGTCTATACCTATTAAATAACTCTTTGTTCTCCTCTTTCCCCAACCCTTGGAAATCACACATTCTACTTTCTGTCTCTGAATTTGACTATTTTAGGTCCCTCATATAAGTATAGTCATGCAGTGTTTCTCTTTGTGACTGGCTTATTGCACTTAGCATAATGCCATTAAGGTTCACCCATGTTGTGGCATGTGTCAGAATTTCATTTTTAAGGCTGAATAATACTCCATTGTATGTGTGTACCACATTTTGTTTATCCATTGATGAATACTTGAGTTGCTTCCACATTTTGGCTGTTGTGAATAATACTGCTGTACAAATATCTGTACATGGTGTACAAATATCTGTTAGAGTCCTTGCTTTCAATTCCACCCATAAACGGAATTGCTGGATCCTGTGGCAATTCTGTGTTTAACTTTTGAGAAATTGTTATACTATTTTTCACAGCAGTTACAGCATTTTACATTCCCACCAGCAATGCACAAGGACAAAGGTCTCGATTTCTTCACATCCTCACCAACATGTATTAATTTTGTTTTCTTTTTTCAATACCAGCCATCCTAATGAGTGTGCCTGGTATCTCACTGTGGTTTTAGTTCACATTTTCTTAATGATTATTAATATTGAGCATCTTTCATGTGCTTATTTGTCTTCTGTGTATCTTCTTTAGAGAAGTGTCTATTCAAGTCTTCGCCCATCTTTTAATGAGGTTGTTCTTGTGTTTTAGAAGTTCCTTATAGTGTCAATCCCTTATCAGATATGTGGTTTACAAACATTTTCTCCCATTTCATGGGTTGCCTTTTCACTCTTATTTCCCTTTATGTACAAAAGTTTTGGGGTTTTTTTTTGAAGTCTAACTTATGGGGGGGTTTTTGTTGCCTGTGCTCCAAGTCCATTTTTGAACGATAATGATCATATTTCTATATTGTCAAAGCTGTTTTCAAAAGAAAATTCAAAGCTTTAAAAATAACTGTTTTGTTACTTCTTCTTATACAGTACTAGAGGCCCGGTGCACGAATTCGTGCACAGGTGGGGTCTGGCCAGCCCACCCTGACCGGGGCAGATCAGGCCAGGCCGGCTAAGGGGAGGTACTGTGGGTGGAGCCAGCCGTGGGGGAAGGGTCGCAGGCAGTTGGTGGGCCAGCCCCACCCCCTGGTTGAACTCCCGGTTGAACTCCCAGTGGAGGGGACAGTTTGCATATTAGCCTTTTATTATATAGGACTAGAGGCCCAGTGCACAAGATTCATGCACTGGAGGGTAGGGGTCCCCTCAGCCCAGCCTGCACCCTCTCGCAGTCCAGGGCTCTTGCAGTCTGAGGGTTTCCCGCCACTGCTGCGATTCTTGCCAACTGTGAGCCCGGCTTCTAGCTGAGCAGTGCTCACCCTGTGCGACTGCACTTACCACCAGGGGACAGCTCCTGAATTGAGCATCTGTTCCCTGGTGGTCAGTGCATGTCATAGTGACCAGTTGTTCCGCCGTTCAGTCGATTTGCATATTATGCTTTTACTAGGGGCCCGGTGGACGAAATTCGTGCACTGGGTGTGTGTGTGTGCGGGGGGGTGTCCCTCAGCCCAGCCTGCCCCCTCTCGCATACTGGTAGCCCTCATCCCCCTCCAGTCGCAGGAACAGTCCCTTGCCCAGGCCTGACGCCTCTGACAGAGGTGTCAGGCCTGGGCAGGGGACCCTCTTTTCCCCCCATCACTGGTTCTGCCCCCAGCCCAGGCCTGATGCCTCTGGCCCAGGCATCAGGCCTGGGCAGGGGACCCCCAGCCCCCCACCCAGGCCTGATGCCTCGGTCAGAGGAGTTGATCCTCATCACCCTCCCATCACCAATCACCGGATCGGCCCCTTGACCAGGCCTGAGGCCTCCGGCAGAGGTGTCAGGCCTCGGCAGGGGACCCCCAGCTCCCCACGGTTGCAGGCTCCGCCCCTGCCCATGCCTAACGCCTCTGGCTGAGGCGCCCGGCCCGGGCAGCGGGGACCCGCAGCTGCAGCGGCCCCGTGATCATGGGCTCCACTTTAGGCCCAGGCAACGGACCCCTAGCTCCTGGGACTGCCAGTTTCGACCGTGCCCAGCTCCCATCGCTGGCTCCACCCCTACTTCCTGCTATCACTGCCCTGCCCCTCAGCTCTTAGCTCCCCCCTGGGTTTCCAATCACTGTCAGTGGCAGGGGGCTTCTTCCTGCTTTCCCTTTCGCCTCCCTACATTGTGCCTACATATGCCAATTAACCGCCATCTTGTTGGCAGTTAACCGCCATCTTGTGGATAGTTAACTGCCAATCTTAGTTGGCAGTTAATTTGCATATAGCCCTGATTAGCCAATGAAAAGGGTAGCGTCGTATGCCAATTACCATTTTTCTCTTTTATTAGTGTAGATTATATAGAATATATAGAATAAGGTAATATGTACATTTCTAATATGGGCAAAGTATTATATTTATAATCTTATTTCCCTCACAGCATTTTATTTTGGTCTGTCCAGGCTATAAATAGTTTTACCTGCAAATCTAGAATTTTCTTCCCACCTGAAAAATAATTTTGTCCTTAAATTACAATTAAAATTCAGTTAATTTCTGCCCTAGCCAGTTTGGCTCAGTGGATAGAGCATCAGCCTGCAGGCCAAAGGATCATAAGTTCAATTCCAGTTAAGAGCATGTACCTTGGTTGCAGGCTCCTCCCTGTCCCAGGCCCTGATTGAGGCATGTAGGATGCAACCAATCGATGTGTTCTAAGACTTACATATTATAACCTCATCTTTTGATCTGGGTCAAAAGTAATCACAACACATTATGATTTTTATAAGTTTATTAAAAGGTATCTTTTATGTCCTATTGATAATATTACCCATAAAGTAGCACATATTCAGAAAAACTTAAGGCATACATAATATATTTATAATCAGCTATTTACATTGCTGTCATATGCAATTCTAGTTTAATATGTACTTTTCTAACATCAAGAAAATTATAAAAAATTTTATACATCAGTCACAAAATAGCAAGATTTAAATCACTCTTTCTATTGATTCTGAAGTACTTAGTCTGCCTATATCGCCGCCATCTTCTTCCCCCCACTTTCTGCTCCAATGCATGTTTTATTTAAAATGAAATATAACATTTCATTTTTTAAAAATATAAACGAAAATGCATGAAATTTTTACTATCAATAGCAGTATGTTAGCATCAGATGGCACTTGATTAAGTGATCACTTGAATCCTGATTGCCAAATTCATTGGTATTTTTTCGGTATTTATCTTGCTTGAACATACTTCATTTGCCATTGTTGACCTCTCATCCTCTTTTCATTGTCTCCTCCCTTGGCTTTCCTAACAACACTCACTTTTGACTTTCTTCTTTCTTCTTTCTTTCTAAACTGTTGTTTTCAGTCTTCTCTATCCGTTCTGAATCTTTGTATTCTTCCCAAAATACAAGTTTTGGCTGTTTTAAAAACTGTGTTCAAATGAAAAGTCTCACCTACATGGCTTCAGGAGCAGTCTTTACAAGTGATTCCTAATATATGTCCATCCCTAGCATGTACTACTTTATGAGGGATATTATCAACAGAACATAAAGGATACCTTTTTATAAACTTAATATAAATCAAAACATGTTGTGATTACTTTTGACCAATAATTGTTAAACCTTTTAAAAATTACTAGCACAATAATACAGAGTTCATAAAGCAAAATTATAATCCTACTAGAGGCCCGGTGCATGCAATTCGCATGCAGGTACGGTCGCTAGGCCTGGCCTGCGATCAAGACCATCTTCCCTGGCTGCCGGCAGCTGGCCCCGCCACCCACCGCCACCCAATCAGAGCCTGCCAACCAGGGGGAGGGACCAAGAGGTTGGCCATTCCTGCCCGCTCACCGGCCCTGCTCCCATCACGTGTCGTCCTCTGTATGTGGGGCGACCAGCAGGGCAGGGGCCTTGGCCTGGTGTCACCCGCGTCCTCTGGTTCCCCATTTGCCATCCGGCAATTGCAGCCTGCTGGCTGCGGGGAGGGACCGAGAGGTGGTCAGTGCACCTCATAGCAACTGGTCGAGCAGTCGTTCTGGTCGTTCTGCCGTTCGGTTGATTTGCATGTTACTCTTTTATATATATCCTATCTAATAAAAGACAAATAGGGTAATTAACTGTACCTTCGATACTCTTCCCATTGGCTAATCAGGAAGATATGCAAATTAACTGCCAACCAAGATGGCGGCTAATTTGCATACTGCAGGCAGGGCAGGACAGCGCCATTCTGCCTGCCCTGCTGCCATCTGGGTCTGCTCTCTGTGACCCGGGCGGCAGGCGGCCCGTATGGGACCCGACCCAGGGCTGGCAGGCAGGACCACAGCGATCCACCACCGGCCACGCCCACAAACGGCCCTCCTGCAGGGATCCCAGGCTGGCAGGTGCTAGTGCACCGATCTGCCAACATGCACACCCGGGCGGCCTTTGCCATGCACAAACTATGCAGCTGGGAGAGGGGAGTGGGGCTGCTGGGAGAAGGGCGGGAACTTCCCGGGTTTGCGTCAGGCAGCCCAGAGCTGAGTGCGAACTATCCCCATTGGCAGCTGCTTGCTCATTCACATACTCGCTTATTCATTCACTCATTCGTTATTCACTCACTCAGCAAACCCTCTCAGGTCCCTGGCACCAGGCCAGGCACTGAAGGTGAAGCAGGATAAGACAGAGCTATGTCCTCAAGATGTTAGTAATTCAGTAGGGCGAAGCAGGCACATGAACGAGGCAGTTGTATGCACAGATGCAGTGTACTGGGT